CCTCTGGTTCTTGGACTTGGGCAAATTGACTGCTGTATTACCTGCCAGTCTTGGGATTGTTGCCTTCACAGCCTATGAGCCAATAGCCTGCCATCTTCCCTGCCAATCTTGGATTCATCAGCCTCCACAGCCTACTGTATTGCTTGGTCATCTTGGTTTCATCAGCCCCTGCAGCAACATGAGTCAGAAGAAGCCTGCAGCCTGATATCTGCCCCGTGGACTTGGGACTTGCCAGCTTCTACAACTAACTGAGCCATTTCCTTGAGATAAATCTCTCTCTCTTAAAGATTCACTGGTTTTTCCTTCTCTAGAGAACCCAGCCTAAGACATCTTTCATCATGAAACCTCCCTCTCGCCTTTTCCCCCTTCCACCCATACCATTACTCATTCTTTTCTGTGTTATGTCATGTTTTGCACAAATTTCTGTTATTATATTTATCACACCAAATTGCAGTTATTTTTCATTTGTCTGTTTCGTCTACTAGACTGAGAGTTGCTTGAGGCCAGGGACCAGCTTACTCATCTTTGTATCCTCAGTGAGAGCCTGGCACAGTTCCTGACACATACAGGACAACCAATAAATGTTTTTTCCATGAACTGAATGAAAGGAAAGACTGGAGGTGTACAACATTGTTTCTTAATCAGACATTGGATGCCTTTATTAGCCTTTCAAAGCCTGTGAATGCAGAGAAGTTTACTCTGCACAAAGGGGAGATTGATAATTAACTGGTTAATTAGTTTACTTAGTTCTGATGAAGAGTGGTGGAAAAAGGGAAAGATCAGAAAGGCACAAGACTCTAGTAGCCTGAAAACTACTAAATTCTACCTGAATTTGATATTTGATTTTTTTGTTTTAATAGAAGCTTATTTGCTTTCCAATTTGAATTCATGGCTTCAGATCTGCTGAATAAGTATTGCAGTTATTGCTGCAAATGATCACATATTGTTAATAACACAAAGTTAATCCAGCCTAAGAATATAAGGTTATCTCTTGGAACATTCAGTTTTCAGCTCAACATAACCTTTGAGACTAGGAAGGCTATAGAGAGATTTTTCAGAAACACAACGTGAGCATGCAGAAAAGTCCATTAGACATCAATGCAAATTCCAAAACCATCTGAGAGATTCTCTTCAGTATGTTTCTTGGCTGCAATTGAGTTCAAATGGAGGCATGAGGATCCCTAAAACCACACAGGATGTCAAACACTACTACTGATTTGACCAGTCGCAATTCTGGGGTTTCAGTGTCAACCTCGAAAACTCCAACTTTTCTTAAAGATTGTGGTGCTGTATGGGAGGAAACTTCCATGAGTTTACGCATTTTGAAATATAGATTTTACTAAAACGATTTTCAACAAATTCACCAAAGCCATGAATTAAAAGTGTTATGCACACTCAGTTTAAAACCACATACATGTACAGTAAAAAAAAAAAAAAAAAGAAAAAAAATAACCAAACTCACTGCTATCAAGTCAATCTCGACTTGGAGTGACCCTACCCGGAGGAAGCTGTTAACTAAAATGTTGGTAGTTTGAGTTTGCTCTGACCTAACACCTATAAGACAGAGTAGAATTGTCCCATAGGATTTCCAAGGCTGTAAATCTTTATGGAAGCACAGAGCAGCTGGTTGGTTCTACTGCCAAACTTTTGGTTAGCCACTTAGTGCTTTACTCACTGTGCCACATGGCTCTTATATATACAGTGGTGGAGATTACTGACAGAGACTGAAAAATCTGGACCTTTCCTCTTTTCCTGTTCTTGCCTCTCTGCTCTCAGTCAGTTTTACAAGGGGAAGAGCTTGTAAAGGGAAGAGCTGTCATTGGCAAAAATGAAGAAATGGAGTTTGGCTTAGGGCTCTGTTTTCTTCAGAAGCCAAATTATCCTCAAGTTGATGACCAGGAGAAGTGTTCTTTTGGAGGCCACTAGTGGCTGCTGAGTGAACTGCAAGAAGATATCTTTCAAAATGAGTGCTTATGCCTTCCTGTGGGCAGTGACAGATCTGTGGAAGAATTCCTGCCTTCCATTGTGAAGACTGGCGCTCAATTTTAGTAATGCACCTCAGACTTAGCCATGACTCATCTATCAGAGGAGGCGTGCATATTGTTATGATGTTGAACAGGTTTCAGTGGAGCTTCCAGATTAAGATGGACTAGGAAGAAAGGCCTAGGGATCTATTTCTGAAAAGTAGGAATCACAATGGTCTGACCCAAAACAGATCATGGGATGCCACAGGACCAAGTAATATGTTTTGTTCTATTGTGCATAGAGTTACCACAAGTCAGGGACAGCAGCAACAACAGCATGCTTTCCACTAGCCGAGGTGACTTGGGAAGAATTTGATCAATTTAATGCCAGAACACCTGCATATCCAAATGATTTTAGAATCACTAAGCATAAAGTGACCAGAAGAGGGACTTCCTTGTTGAGGCAGTTCATATGCTGTGTTTTATTTTTTCTATCATAGTCATCTGAGACTTAATGCTATACTTCCTGGGGATAGAGTCCCAATCCTCATAGAGTGTAGCACTTAGCTCATCTGTGTGAGAAATATTAAATGAATGAATGTTTACAAAATCTAGACTCTGTTATTAATAATAAACTTATAATGACTCCAGGGCTGATGAGTCATTCAGTTCTCCAGTGATTGATTGTTCATTCTTTCTACAAATAGCCATTGCATACTCACACTGCCTGTGCTAGGGCCTCTAATGAATATCTCAGAATGTCACCTATGACTGTCAAATGGATAATAACTTTTTTTTTTTTTTCAAAGTAATTCAGTTAAGCTACTCCCTGCCTCCAAAAATAAATAAACAAAAGCAACAATCCCACATATGTTTTTAAATTGACCCCCCTACTCAAGTTCTCTGGCAGCTATGAGGTCTTACTGGTAATGTTTTGTTCAGATTTCTGATTTACAAGGCTACAGATTGTACATATTCATCTTAGAAACAAGTCTTCACTTGAGTAGTTTCCTGATCTTGTTAGATTATGATAATTGGACATTCTGAATCAATGAACAATTTATTGGTCATGTCCTTTATATCAGATACAGGCACTATTCATGTGTCATCATGACAAGCTGTGAATTAGGTGTTGCATCTATTTTTCTGATGGAGAAATTGAGGGTTAGGGCCCTCACATGACTTGTTCTGGGTCCCTGGGTGAGCAAGTGGCAAATGTGAGATAGACACCTGGACTTTAGGACCAGAGGGTTCCTCTGCTACACTGCATGCCCTTTTGTGGAGATTCACATCTGTCCTCACTCACCCTGGCTAGGATGGCTGTGTCCCCTACCCTTATCTCTTTTTCCTTCCCGATTCTTCCAGCACTTTGGCCCCCCATTGCTGGGCCCAGGGTCTTCTCTGCCAGAAGGGATTTTGTAAGTAAACTGAATACACCAAGGTGACCTGCTTGGTAATTTGATGTCTTCGTGCTTCCCAACTATATTTTCATTCTTTATAAAACAACTATTCCCAGAACAGGCAATGAAGAAATGAATATCAACTGCTTGCTTTGTTTAGGCCTTAGCTTCAAGTCACTTTTAACTCAGTTTTAGAGAACATGGTACTTAGCTGGGAGAAAGTGTTCAAAGCTACAGGTTCCTCTTGGTCCTTCAAACGGTACTGTTCAACTAAGAACGCCCTTCTGATCTGTGACAACCTCCCCTTTCACCACATACACGCAATTGGGATGGCACCTGAAGCAGTGGACTGAGTATCTCTCTATTTTCACAATTTGATATCAAATCATCTAGATGTGATAGTATTATAGTGAAACTTCTTGCAATGTGTGGGCAGGTCTTTGGCTTGCTAGATGTGTTAGCAATCTAGAGTGTCCTTTCTTTTTGCTCCTGATTTGACCCTTGCTGCCAAGAAGGCTATTTCAACCTAGAGTTGTTCACTATGAGCTCTTTCTGGTGAGGGGAATTTCCCACAGAGCCACAGGGTGATCAGAACCATGCTGACTAACCCCAGCAATTGGATGTTTTCCTCCTGCTAGACTCAGCAGAGCACGCATAGGATCAAAACTGGGTCCTACACAGGTACATGCATGCTAGTGACAAAATGCACTACCTTCTAGATGACACTCAGGGAAGCTAGTCTGAATTTCCCTGCCAGGGCCCAAGGGACCAGCATCTATGTCACCAAACCACTGCTGGCACTTGTGCCCTGTCACAGCTGACAGGCTGCATGGAGGTCAGGCTGTGCAGGATCAGGCAGAAGCCAGGGCAGGGGAATCATCTTGTCTTACCTGCTTACCAGGCAGCTCGAAGAGAAACAGAGAAATGAAGGCTTCCATCTCTATTACTGTCAAGAATCTTTCACCTCTCACCAGCTCAGAAATTCACAGCAATGGATGGAGGAGGGAGAGGAAAGGAGGTGCAAGCCAGACAACTCAAACAGCTACAATATTTTGGAAGTGGAGTATTCTAGCTAGAGAAAAATCTTCAAAGCATAGAATAGTATGACTGGAAGAGGCCTCAATTCATGCAACACATTTGTTTTGTAGAGGAAATAATGGAGAGGGAATAAGACAAAGCAATTTGCCTTAGGCAACAAGGCTACCAAATGGCAGAACTGGAATAAGAATCCAGGTCTCAGGTGCTTTCGTTATTTGAAAGAGGTTTCTGGAGTCCCCCTTTTTTAAATAAATAAATAAATAAATACGTGTCCCTGAGTGGTACAAATGATTAACATGCTCAGCTGCTAACCAAAATGTTGGAAGTTCTTGTCCTCCCGGAGGCACATTAGAAGAAAAGCCTGGTGATCTACCTCCAAAAAATCAGCCTTTGAAAACCTAAAGAGTACAATTCTTCTCTGACTCACATGAGGTCTCCATGATTCAGGGTCATCTCAGTGGCAAATGGTTTGGTCTTCCTTAAAAGCAGAGATGGAAGGAGCAACCTTTTGCAGGCACTCAATGGAGGTAAAGGATGCCCACCCCACTGTCCGTGACCAACAGGTATTTGTTGACCAATACTAAGGAGTGCTATTTACCTTGCAGGCTGACACCTCGGGGCACCAGACCCTGCAGCTCCATAGTAGGGAGGTCATCTTCCAAAGCATTGGAGTTGTTGGGTGGGACTGATCTCCTGCCTCCAAAGGTGATGGTGGATGTTTCGGACATTTTCAGCTTCACAAACAGCTTGTCAGGAGAAAAAAGGAAACATGGTAAAGGACTCTGAAATGAGTTACATCTGAGGTAAGTATTCAAAAATAGAGAAACTGACATATCTGTTTGTGATAGAAGTTAAGCAACACATTTTGAATTTCGCATAAGTAAAAACTGAGACGTGGTGGCCAGGATTAGTTTAATGGTGGATAGAGTTCCCCTAGGATCTGAGAGAGATTTTGTATTTTCCCAAACGTATGTAAAACAGAAGAAAGAGTGTGTATTTGAAGAAATTAAAAATATAAACAATTTTGGAGGACAGTTTTTTTGTTGTTGTTCTCAATTCCACTAAAGGCAACATCTTTTAAGAAACTTTTACTGCTGTATGTATGTATGTATGTATGTTCACGTGCCCATGTATAGATTATGAGACCTACATGACTTTTTTTTTTTTTTTTTGAGTTGTGATGTGGAGGAAAGTTTACAGAGCAAATTCATTTTCCATATAGCAGTTCATACACATTCTGTTTCATGATATTGATTGCAGTCCCCATAAAGTAACTCTCCTCTCCCTTCATCCCTGGGGTTACCTTTTCCCTGTGTCCTTTCCTATGCATTCCTGCACTCTGAGCTATCTCCCTGTGCAAATACTGCCCTTCTGATCTCCTATGGTTGATTATTCTAAGGAGTGTACCTCCCTGCAATAAATGTTCACCTTATACGCTTGTCCATTATTTAGCTAGAAGCTGAAGGAGTGAGTTCCAGTCCAGGTCTGAGGATGACTAGGGGCCATAGTCTCAGGGATTTTACTACCCTATATCAGACCAGTAAGCCTGGAGACCTAAGTTATTTTTAAAGATAAATGCCTACAATCATGTGCAAATATGAGCTGTCCTCCAAAGCATTAACTTTTGCAATTTGATTCAACCAATGTTATTGAGAGTCCTTAGTGGTACAAATGTTTAACACACACTGACAGCTAACCAAAAAGTTGGAAGTTTGAGTTCACCTAGAAGCTCCTCAAAGAAAGGTCTAGTGATTTACTTCTGAAAAATCAACCATTGAAAACCCTGTGGAACACAGTTCTACTCTGACATACATGAGGCTGTGACCCAGGCACTCAGGCTACATCAGAGAACAAAGTACCAAAGATCCCTGTCCTTATGGGGCTTACAGACTAGTGGGAATTAAGGGGAATCCTAGCAACAATTCATAAGTAAGTAAGAGTGTTAGACAGTGATAACTGCTGGAGAAGAAGAATGAAGTGGAGCAGGACAAGGGAAAGGCAGAGTTAGGAGGTGAGAGGCATGCAGATTGCAATGTTAAATGAGTTGGACAGGGCAGGGCTGTGCATAGACTGTTCTTTAGACTGACTTAGTCAGTGGTGCTAACGTTGCTATTGCTCAGGGCATGCTCCCCCTTCCTTTTGGATTTGTGCAGGCACAGGGCCAGTTTAAACACTACACACCTCACTGTCCAGGCCCAACAAGTATTTGTTGACCACCTGACCCAATGAATGGAGACCTTGTTTCTGGACCCAGCTGAAGTTTCTCCCCTTGGTCACCTTGACTCCAGCAATGTGGCTATTTTAAAAAACCAGGCACACCCTCAACAAATGAAGAGTTGCCATTGTAAAGGCAGCTAAAGTAGACTGTTCCAGAAACAGGTTAAGTGATGGCAGCCTGGCTGGATAAGAGAAACACTTCCTAAGGTATTTGGTCTTGGAAGGAGATTGGAGCCTTTTGAGAATGTAAGGTCTGAATAAGCCAAAAAAAAAAAAAAAAAAGCTGAACCCACCTCCCTGATGTTGATTCCAACTTAGGGACCCTATAGGACAAAGTAGAACTTCCCCATAGGGTTTCCAAAGCTATAATCTTTAAGGGAGCAGACTGCCACATCTTCCTTCCGCAAAATAGCTGGTGGGTCCAAACCACTGACCATTTAGTTATCTTTTGGTTAGCTGAGTGCTGTAACCACAGCACTACCAGGGATCCTTAAGTTTTGAATGAAAAAAAAAACATACTGCCATTGAGTTGAGTTGAGTTGATTTTTAACTCACAGCAAACCTTTAAGTCAGAGTAGAACTGCCCCATAGGGTTTCTAAGGCTGTAAGTCTTTATGGAAGCAAACTGCCTCTTCTTTCTCCTGCTGAGCAGCTGGTGGGTTTGAACTAACAACCTTTTGGTTAGCAGTCAAATGCTTTAACTACTAAGCCACCAGAGCACCTTAAGGTCTGAGTAGATATTCCTAGTATCTATGTACACATTTATAAAAAATTTTCCATGCAAAGCAGAAGGAAAGAGAGAAGGAGTTCATAATGGAGAGAACAGGAAAAAGCAGTCTTCTGGTGGGAAATAGCAAGAGTAGGGCAGGATTCAAAGGGGTGGATAGGGTTGGGGGAGGACAGTGCATAATAGTGCAGTAGACTGTTGGGGAGAGTGAACTTGTGAGACAATTAGGGAACCCCAAGAGCTACCAGGTCAAGAGAAGGCAACGCAGTCCTGGCTGGTGAGTGCAGGTGGGCAGGGCAAACCCTCTCAGTGGGGTGAGGAGAAGAGAAGGACTGGGATAGTGAAAGAGAAGGGCACTAGGGTGGGAAGCCAACCTGAGTGAACTCCTAGCTAAGCTGGCAACCCTACCAGGTTTTGCCCTGCAACTAGGCACTCCCTGCTTAAGAGTCCTCTCTCTGAGGAAAGGCAACTGTCCCTTGGGGGAGCACTTTTAATTCAACCAATTCTCTTTTTCTTCTTAGCAAGTAGCACCTATAGGAAAGCTTCATGGAGTACCTGAGAAGTCCCCACTGGGAAATGGGACTGAAGAGATACAGAGTTGAGGGTGAAGGGCTGAGGGGTGACAGTGGGGCTGCCTCTCTACCCCACCCTTGCCACCTGAGGGATGACCAGGGATCTGGAGGTACAGGGGACACAGGACACTGGCTGCAGGGGATAGTCAGGGTAGGGGCTTACCTGTGATATCCTCCAGAGGAGCCCTGGGGCAGACTCTGCTGGTGTGTCTCTAGGCAGTTCCTCAAAAGGATACAGGAAAAAAAATGACAAGAAAGTTGGCTCTTAAATAACTTCCTAACAGCTCTCTCCCTCCTCCTCTGTCCTACAGGGTTTTCTCCTCCCCCTTCTCGACAGCTGGAGCTATCTAGGAGCTTCAGAGACTTTCCACTTACTTCTGCCTTCCAGCTTTGTTATTCTGGTGTGCTCCACCTCCCTCTCTCCCCAACACCCAGCAGGCAGCCTCCTCCAAAGCCCTACTCCTAGTTTCCTAGCCCAGCTTGGTGCTCACCATCCCCTCCCCAATCCTTCCTCTTCACTTGGTTCTGGGAGTGCCAGTCACTACCTAGGTCCCTGTACCTTCCTTCTGACCAGAAGGTCAAGAAAGAGTCTCCCATTACAAAGAAACTTCTTTGCCAAGCAGAGTTGAGAGGCTGGCTGGGTGGCTTGGCAGAAAGAATGTCTTTCCCACTGTGGACAGGTCACACAGACAGTTATGACCATGCATAAAATAAATGTATCTCTCTTGTGAAAACAAGGATGTGGTCATGGTCTGTATTCTTGAATCACACAGGGAGCCATAGCCACCAACAATGAACCACAAGATTTCCTGCAGGAGGTGATGCTTGTTCAGAAGAGAAGATGAAGACTTGTCTAGAAGAATACCATATAAACTAGAAAATAATACTTTTTTCTTTTGGAATACTATGTTGGTTAATCCCAAAATAGGTGAAGAAAAATAAGAGAATTTTCCTCCTGGAAATTTCCATATTTTTTGAGTCTTTCTATCTCTAAATAAACTTATTTTCCAAATGACTCTTCTTAACCTTGTTTACTATCTTCAAATGTGTGACCTTGCAACTTGATCTAATTTCATAGAGAAAAAAGGATGCCATTGGTTAGAATTTCCCTCAGTTTTCTGCTACTTAATCTATTAACTTGCCTGTATCTTCAACCATTTTTTCCCTCTTTCCTCCTGTAACTAAAGCAGGAAAGGTGTCCCTCTTCTAGAGCCCAGGGGGCAGTGGTGGTTCAGTAGTAGAATTCTTACCTTCCCTTGTGGAGACCCCGGTTCATTTCTTGGCTAATGCACCTCACACACAGCTACCACCTGTCTGTCAGTGGAAGCATGTGTGTTGTTATGATACTGATCAGATTTCAGTGGATTTTATATACTCAGACTAGGAAGAAAGACCTGGACATCTACTTTCTAAAATCAGCCAATGGAAACCTATTGGATCAAAATGATTATGACTGAGCAGCATGGTACATGAGGTTGTCATGTGTCAGGAACTGACTGAATGACAGCTAACAACAACTCTGCCCAAGACAAAGGGCTCTGGGTTCCCTACTACCTGTGTGTCATGTCACCTTATCAAGGACTTTATTGGACCACTTACCCACTCTTCCTCCTGTACTTTCAAGCTCTCTCTCTCTCTGGTAGCTGCTTCTAATCAATATCAAGTCAAGTCTCCTTAATATTTCTTCAACCCATGCACCACAGCTATAGTTTCTTCTCTCTCTTCTACCCTCATCTTTCTACTGAAACTGTAAATCAAGAACACTAATAGATTGTACTAAATCCAAAGGCAGGATGCAGGTCTCATTTACAGAACATTTTAGAAGCATTTAACTTTGCTGCCTACTCTCTAGGAGCTCTGGTAGCATAGTGCCTAAGGTACTTGACTGCTAACCAGAAAGCTGGCTGTTCAAACCCACCAGCCACTCCTCAGAAGGAAGGTTGGAAGGTTAAAGGAAGGTTGGGCAATCTACTTCCACAGAGATACTGCCTCGGAAACCCAAGGAGGGGTCACTATGAGTTGGATCTGACTCAATGGCAGTGATTTTTTTTTTTTTTTTTTGGCCTAAACAATAATTTCAATAGCATTCATTCACTAAAGGAAAGCTATTAGTATACAGACTTTAAAGGCATAGAAGACAAAAGCAGAGGAGCTCTGGTGGTACTGTGATTAAAATATTGGGCTCCTAACCAAAAGATCTGCAGTTCAAACCCACCAGCT